GATCTATATATATATACTATTTTGGTGATTGTTAGATTGTTACAATTTTATCTTTGAAAAGACATGATGATAGGTTAAGAAAGATAAATGTTTATAAATGACTTTTAATCTCTATTCTTAAATGATTTGAAGTTTTTTGACATACCAAAACAGTGTTATAAAATATTTACTACTTACAAGTGATTAAGCAAGCATATTTTTAAAGGAAGTAGTAGGACTCATTTAAGGGTTAGTTTTTCTTTTATAAAATGTAAATCATTTACTTACTATAAAAGAGGAATAATGCGACATTGTTAGGAAAATTTTGAAGAATTATGAAAGTTGTGAGGAGTGGTTCGTACCTCTCAAAATATTTAGAATGTATCATTCTCTTGAGAGAAATACTCCTTATAATTAAGTAAAAATTTACTTTTCATTTTTGTTATTTCTATCTTGACTTACTTAATTTGAAGAGTGGTAATTTTTCACTAAATGATATAAGATTGCCTATAATTATGATCAATATGTATGTAAAAAATGACATAGCAATTTTAGCAATATAACTATGTAAAAAAAATTAAGACTAAATACGAGTTTTAAACCAAAGTGTCATCCAAAATGCAAAGAAGATTGTTCAACAAATCATATATCATAATTTACATAAATTTCTTTACCTAAGAGAAATAAGATCTTATTTGTATCATAATTCACATCGAATTTCATTTTGATACGATATTAAATATCTTAATTAAGTCTTTATGTTTGTATGAAAAGAAAATTGTTTTCTTTCTCTATGAAGAGAGAGAAGGTTAGTGAAAACTGATAAACAAACATTTATGATAGTTTTCACTTTTGTATAGATAATTTGAAAGTATTTTTATTCTTTATATATCTATTTCACTGCTTCAAATAAAGGCTTCTTGTTTCACATATTTGTCTTTGCATAGAAGACAATATATTTCATGAAGTAGTTATGAACAAGATGTATTAGTGTTGGATTATATTCGTTTTTACTCGGATACCAAATCTTTGTCAAAGACAAAAGGTTTTCCCATAAAGCTCTGGACGTTTTTAACAACTCATTTGGACTATTATGATAAAAACAAGTATCAGACACACCTTGTTGTAAAGACATGTATTGAATGTCTCTTAAAACATTGGTGCTTTGATCATAAGTTTATTTAAATATGAATATCTTTGAGTCTTCCCTTATGATTTAAACCAAATCACTTTTATTCACTCGAAATTATTTTGTTAAAGCATGTTACTTAGGCTTTCTATAAAATTTAATTATATTTATTATTATCAAAACAATTGAGGGGTAAGATGACTCATATGTCATGATTTTGGTTCCAACAGTAATTGGTCAAATAAGATCTATAGACAACAAAATATTAGAACAATAAAAGCCTACATTTTCTGTGAAATAAAACGGGTGGACGCCATCAGAAGTTGACAGAAAATTAAAGATCTGATACGAATCCTCATCTTTCCCATGAGTGAAATCTCCCTGACATCATAATATCTAGAAATTAATTGAGTAGTTGCAACTGAATGAAAGTGATTGTAGTTGAACCTATACAGTAATCCTCAAGAAGGTAGAGTGCTTCAAGCTGGGTTTGGTTGATGTGAATGCCAAGGACCCATGCAAAATTAAGAAGAATAATGATCAGAACGTGTGTATCACAAGAAAGGAAGTAGGAAACTGTGTGCCTCCACAACTGTGCATAAATAAAATTGTTTCCTATACCGATAATGAAAATTCATGGTAATTGTGTTGACAGGAATTTTAGGATAGAAAAATGTAAGGAAAATTGGTTACAATTTATACTTATTATTACTGTTATTACACGTGCTGTCTTTATCTGATTCATGGGAGAATCAATACAAAGACGATGACACAGGACCATAACTCATTTGTGTCGAAGACCACTTATGCAAATATACATGCCGCTGGTGCTGGATCAAGGGCAGATATAACATATATGCGAACAAGGGATTGAAAGCAAAATGATTCTTCTGGGTAAGTGTTTCCATGAATTGGCTAAAACTGTCGATAATTAAGTTCAGCGACACAGGAGGATAAGGCGTCTTTAACTTGCATGTTATTGGAGTCCATATGAAGGGCATCTTCATATAACCTTTTAGCCTGCTGCAGTAACTTCACCTTTTCTTTACTACTTCCTGGCCTTAAGCGAGATCGTTGCTGCAATGCTACACCCCATCTGAACAAAGCTGCAATTCAACATGTTAGAATCCATGTTAAAGCCAAGAAGACTTCCGAAATGCTCTAACAAAAAAAGGATAAATGAAAGGAAAAAACTGGTGACATCCATAGAACAGTTTGATACCTGGGACAAACATTTTCTAAGCAAAAAATTTCAATGCCATCAAACATAGCTAGCAACTTATGTGAAGTTGGTGTAAAATTGTGTGCGTATCTCAGGCTATAATACATGTGTATGTTCTTAATGCAGTTCTTCGTACAGAGACATCTTAGAATTATTTTGAGATAGATACAAGCTTTATGAGCTTAAATTCTAACAGTTCATAGAAGGCAATATACTTTATACAGAATCTGTCAGCATAATATTCTCTAGTTGTAGTTGCACCGGTATGCTGTATGTGAAAATCATAAATGAAAAATTTAGGAATATAGACACAATACCATCTGGCGCATAAACATTGCCTTTTATTAGCATTGCATCGAACTTGTCAATTGCAGCAAGGAATACTCTTTCAGCTTCAAAAGCAGCACCCTGTGATATTTGAAGATACATTAAACTTTGATGCAGAAATAGAATGTACAACAAAGGTAAGTATTAGCAAACTAGAAGAAGAATTCATGTCAAGGAAAACATTCAAGGCACAAAAGATCAAATTAAACAAATTACTAATCTATAGAATCAATTTAGCTGCTAACTAAATTTAATACGTTATTGTGGCTACACTGCCTACACATAAATGGAAGAAAGCAGTATTCTAACAAACTGATTGAAGAACTGAAAAAGGTAATTTAATGATGTCAAGAATAATGCATACCGGACCAATATCTGCTATCAATTGGCCTCGGAATGAAAGAGCAAGGCCCCAATTATACAGAGCTCTCATATCATTTGCATCAATTGACAATGCCAGCCTATACTTTCTGCCTGCCTTCACAAGTAGCTCTTCACACTCTTCACAGACATCAATAAGAAAGGGTGCAACTTCTTCCTTACTAGTGATTTTATTCCTCAGTCCCTTCAATATTCTATTGTGTTTTCCAGATGAAGGTTGGATGCTCCCAGAAAGAAGAGTTCTCAATTCCCGACTAAGCTTCAACTTTAATTCTCCATGAAGAAGGTAAGTGTTTCCTAACTGGCCTACAGCCAACAAACTCATGGGCTTCAAGTCGACAGCTTTGGATAGTAAGTTTGCGGACCTATATAACATGATTTCGGCTTGCTCTTCACCCTGCCTACCTTTTATAAACTCTTTTGCATGTTTAAGAAGGTCTGTTGCTTCAGCAAGATACCTATCAAACATCATATCATCTGAAAATTTTGCAGATGGAGGGGCATTGAAATCATTCTCATTTGCAGACAAATCATCTGAATGATTGCGATGATCATCGTAATTCACCGTATCATCTTTATACTGAGGCCTGTCAGATCCACCCTCCCTCTTGTCATGAGAAGACCTGAAAGTCTCTTGACCTCGATTAAGCAGCTGCTCCTGCAAAAAAGAAGACTCACTTCCCATGTGTTTTGTTCTGACTTTAAAGGTTTCAGAATCAACATGGGATTCCCACATGTCTGTTATGCTGCTGGAATCCATCTTCAAAGAGAAGCTGCGATTATTTGTGAACCTCAATCCTTTGTTCCGGTAACTATACTCTTTACTGTCAAAGAATTTATTAGCACTTCTATGAATGTCCCCTAAGCCAATATTTTCTCCCTCGGGAGTAGTTCTTATTCTTTCACCTTTTCCCATATCCAAAACAGAGTTCGTAGATGAGTCTTGAGAAGGATCCAAATCCAGCTTCCGATTTCCCTTGTGATCATCAGACAAATTCAAAGCCCTGTCTTCAACTGGTGGCACAGTACCATTTCCTCGAGTTTGATCCAATGTCCTATCCATTACCTCTGGCTTAACATTTTCTCTTACTTTGGTGGAATTGGAGCTAAACAAATTTTCCCCAAACAAACTGCTTAAAGACTGTAGCATCTGGTAGCCACCTTCTCCAACTTGTTTCTTTCTTCTACCACTCTTATGGTTCTCAACCAAAACACCACCAGAGTTTTCCTCATTATCAATTAAAGCCCTAACAACATTCCTAGCATTCTTAGCCGAAAATTTAATCTTGTCCGTGACTTCAAGATAACCATAAAAATCATCCACTCGAATCTTATTATTGCTGATAGCACTTTGCACATCACTCTTCAAGTTATTGACCACAAGATCAAGCTCGTCAAAAAACTCCATCAAACTCCTCAATTTCTCCGAAGAAAGCTTCGAATTCTCCTCCTTTTCCCTCCTCTTACTCGCACTCGCACTCGCCCTCACCTCACCGAACGTTCCGCTTCGGAAAAACCCTACCGCGAAACCAACGGCGAAAACCAACGCGGAAGCAGGGAGAACCACAATAGAAGAAACCTTAACCCTAGAAATCGCCATCGCACAAACGAGGCCGAAAAGGAACACGAAAACGTTCTTCCTATCATCGATCCCGACAGAAACGAGAAAATTGCGCAACGCGTCGAACTCACCAGGCGCGTCTGAATTGCCGAGATCTTCCCAACCTCCGTAGACGTTGGAGGAAGAAGCACACGAAGCTCTCAGGGAAGAAAACGAGAAGCTGAGGGGGTTGGAACCGCGTGTCCATTTCACGCTCGAACTGTGATGAGAATTGCGAGCAACTGAAGGGGCGCGAAAGAGAACAAGCGAGCCCTGAGAGTTGAGAAGATTAATGGGATTCTTCGCAATGACGAATTTCATTTCATCGAAGAAGATGCGTTCTTCTTCAATGTACTTTCACCGCTGAAGCGTACTTGCAACCAACTCTGCCGCCGCAACAACACAGGATGATGTGGAAACTCAAAATAACCAAAACGACACGTCGTACACGTGTTTATGAAAAGTGAAACGCAAGTCGTTTTGTCGATACTGTACTCAACTACTTATTATGTGACGGCTTGTGTTATGGTGCGGATGAGGTGTTTGATAAATTGGGTTTGAGAAGAGGAAGAAGCATAGATATTGGAAGGCATGAATAATCTAAGGCCATTGGTTAGGATGGCTGCAGTTATCGTTGGTGGAGTAGCTACTATGAACTTGGCTTCTACTGCTACCATCAAAGCCCTTCGGTTTGCATCCGAGAAGAAACGGGTAAAGATTATCTAAACTTCATAGTTCATACCTTTGTCCTATTTTATTTGGAAATTCATGTAATGGGACAAGTTGTTTGTAGGAAAAAGTTGGGTTGCCGTGTAGGGCTTGTAGAGGGAAGGGGTTTTATATATGCAAACTGTGCAATGGGAACGCCACCATAGCTTGGTCTCCAATGTTTGACCCTATTGCAATTAACCCCTGCGTTTGTCCCACTTGCGAAGGAAACAGGTTAGGTTTCGCTTCTCCCTGCTTCATGTTCATGCTATGCCTGGTTTGATGCGGGGTTAGAAAATGTAACACAAGGAAGATAATTTGATTATTGGGGTTGTCTTCTAGTTGAATTGCAAGGAAATTATTCTTTTGTTTGAAATTTACTTTCTTCGAGTTAACATCAAGCACCGGGACTTTTGGGGTTAATCCAGTTTTCTAATGCTTACTCTTGGTTTTGCAGGGTTCAACGCTGTCTGAATTGTCTGGGAAAAGGCTATGAATGACCTATTAAGAGATAGATAGTGCTGCATTTATTTTGTTCTTTAGAATATGATGATTGTGCTAGCGACTTGTTCAATTGTATTTTACTGCATCTGAGAGCTTGCACATCTTCGCCATTTGCTCTTTCGATTGAATTGCCTTCCTAGTAATAGAATAAGAGCTAAGCAATATTTATGTAATAAATCTCCGCTTGCAAAAATCAGTGGAGAAAGATGTCATCTTTTTTTAATGTGGTTAGTGCTGCAATGCAATGACATCATGTCAATCACCTGTAGCAAATGAGGCGGTGCTGCTGATGAACTTTAAACTTACTTTGCCTATTAAAGTGGCTAAGTTTCATTATAAGCTTAAAAATATAACTTGGTGAATTATTTATTATCTTCTTCATGTTCTGTGTATGTTGTAACTTGCATTAGGTGGTTTTGGTCATGTTTATAAGGTGCTTAGTATGCTTATTTTCCCGCTGACCCTGTTGCTTTTTGCTTACTTTAGTCCATTAGCACATATTGAAAGGTAATATGTGTGGACAGCAGTAACTGGGAAATCACATTTGTCAGGTTAAATTCTGTAAGAAAATGAAGTATCTAATATTTAGATATTTGGACAGCATCACAGCAATAATTGAGAAATCACATTTTGTCTGCAACGGGAATGTTATTTGGACAAGAAATTGCAGTCAATGATAGGCCTTGATGTTCAGGTTAAAGATTCGATAGGTTTAAAACTGAAGAGTAGTGCAAATAATTTTATGCTTCAGTTCAAAAATCTTATCAAGATTGTGGATTTCCTTATTTAGTTAAATGCAGATAGTTTGTACCGGCTAATTGCCATGCTAAGTCAACCTGACATATAAGGCTACAAGCTTACTCTGCACTTCTTTGAGCATCAATTGTAAAGCGTATAATGCAGAGAGAAGTGGGCAATAGTTTGACGAAGTTGAGAGTCTACAAGAAACTGCTCTGAATTAATAAATGAAATGATGAGAATCTTGCATGCATGAGAATTATAAAATTAGTCTATTTTAAAAAATCATAATGTGACTCAAAGGCGCTATCTGTAGACTAATCAAAGAGTATGTACATCAATGATGAAGAAAAATATAGAAAGGCAGAAAACAGAAAAGTCCTCAAATCAATGGTTCGTTAGTTTCTCATTTTACTATCTGATTCTGATTCCACTTTTGGGCTCTCAGTCACTCCTTGATCGTCAAACGCTTGCATCCCATGTTAGGTCTGTAAACGTTGCGACTCCGCATTCAACTTTTTGTAGGATAAAAGATTCCTGAACAGAACACTCAGGAGATAAGTGATTCAAATTTTTATAAATGTTCATATTAGTAAAAATAAATAATTAAAAATCTCAATGATTAATTCAATGATGCATATTTGTTAAGTATTACATTGAATGCCTTTTTCTTTATTAAAAAAACATTATTTTGTTTATTATCTATATATTATATATTTAAAGATGAATTTTAATTTTATTCTATATTTTGTATAGTTGCATTTTAGAATCATTTATAAACTTTACAAGAATAAAGTAGATCCTCACCAAGTTTCAATATGAGGAAAAAAAAAAAAAAAAAAGACACGCTCAATCTTAACAAATTATGATGTGTTTGATTAAAATAATATTTAAGTATATTATCTATAACTGTATATGAAAGGAATATCTCCCTTTCTGTCCACTTTTATAAAGAATTTTATACTACTGTATTATATTCTAACATTTTCCTACCAATGTATCTCTTGAGAAAAAAAAAATAGTATATACAAAAATAATAATTATCCATTCAATCAATAATAATTATCTACTTATTTTATTTTATTTTTTAATGGAGGCACAAAATCTCTTCTACCATACTAATTATTAATATATTAGTTCTCATCGCTATTTTATCTTACAAGTGAGATGTTGTTCATCGCCTACTTAGGGATGTCAATTATGGCATGACCAGTCCAGTCCAATAAGGAAAGTTACAGGTTGATAATTTATTGGGCCGACCCACAACGGGTTAGTTATAAATTGACATATTATTGGCTTACCCATCCCTATGCAAGCTAAAAACAGAAAAATTCTAAATATATCTATATATTTTTTTGGTTATTTATACAATTAAAGTCTACAAATATTAGTTTCAATTGTCAATAAGAAAACAAATACTAATTGTTACTTATTAAAATAGATTATGTTTTAGCATTGTAATGGAGAAGTTTTTACATAAGTTACTAATGCATATTAATTTTTAATTGTGAGGTTTGAAATAATTTGTGTAAAAAAAATGAATTTATCCTGTGCCCTTTTAAGAGCATTAAACTGAAAGTGAGACATAAAACATGAAATTAAAATAGAGATGTGTTTGGACCCCATGAGCAGAAGCTGCCATGCCCATTATGATATGTCCCAGACAACAACAAATCAAGATCGCATAAGATTGCCACTGCTGTTTTCCCGGTATATGCATCCGTACGTGTCCTTCCACATTTGCTCCACTTTTCACTGAAATTTATGCTTCCCCAATATTATATCATTTTACGTTTTTTTAATGCTTAATTTTGGCAATTTTACTTCTGCTTCTTCTCTAGATTCCGGTACATATGATTCATTACATTGCACCACGCTTTGTTCAGTGAATATTAATGCAGCAAATTATTAAAGGAGTGGAACTCTGAGTGAGAGATGTTAAAGTCGGTTGTTTCTGCCTCCTCTTCATTTGCAGTTATCCTATCACCATCACTTGTCGTTAAATTTTCCACATTCTGCCAATTCATTATCAAGTATCAACATTACTGAGAGTGGCCAAATTTCAATGTAGAACTCAACAACAAACCACACTATATCTTACAGCATTAATTGTGGCTTCCTCCTAAATCTCTAAAAAAAAATAGTATAAAATTCAAGTCATCTTTACACTTTTCTAAGCCTTTTCTTTTTTCCTTTTATGGCATCCATAACTTGGTTCCATATATAATTCAATTCAATAATTTGGTAGTAGTCCACAAGTCGATCTAATATGGTTACGTAATTAGAATTTAAACTCGATACCACCAACAAAGGAAAATCAACCATATCAATTATGTATTAGTTAGTCTACACGCGCTTAATGATGATTTGATTCAATATAACATCTATTTAATTTTTTTCTATTTGATTGTTCTCTTGTATTTAACAAAGTTACATTATTAGAATTTAAACTTGAGATGACCGATCAAGTGAAATAAGTCCTATCATTTTTATATCAATTCATCCACACACTTGATGATAATTCAATTAAATACAAATAACACATATTTAATTTAATTTTTCTTTTTGATTTGACTGTTTTCTTGTATTTAACAAAGTTACATGATTAGAATTTAAATTTGAAATCACCAATCAAGTTAAACAAACTTGTCCATTTCTGTATCGGTGATCTAAGTGTTTGATGATAATTTAATTAAATAGAAATGACATGTATGTAGCTTTTCTTTTTGTGATTTGACTGTTTTTGCCTTTTTTTCCTTCCCACCCAAATTTTCCTTTTAGCATGCAAACAAGTAGACATCATAAAGGTAGGTGATTGGAGGGTAGTTGATGGCGCTTTTGAAGGTCTGGGGAGAAGAATGTTATGGAGCAAGTGATGGAGCTTCGAGTCTTCCTATATATTTGTCACTCTGCGTGACTGCAATTGATGCTGGGTCTGCTACCAGAATTGTAACCAAAAGTGCAAGCGACAAGATCTTGCAGATAAAAAGCAGAAAAATGGAAAACAAAAAACAACAATTTATTTATGTACTTCTGGATACACACACTAGAATGATTAGAATTATTGCCTTACATGAACAGCAAGAAGCAAGAATTCAAAGGGTATTATGTAGAATCACGTAGAAGTGACACATGCCATCAAACGGGAAACAAGATCTGGTTTCACATACATATCTCAGCATAAATCCAACTCGGTTCAAATCAACCCATATCCTCACATTTTGGCATGATTTAACTGTGCTTGAATTTATTTTATTGTTTCTTATGATCCGTGCATATATATGATTATTAATTTAATCTGGAAAAAGAAAATGACCATTTACGGGTCCACAAGATCAACATAATGAAATGGGATACGTGACAGCTAGTAGTCTACTTTGAGAAAAAGATGGGGTATAAGTCATGAGTCTTTGTTGACTGATGTATAAAGTTTGAAAAGTGGGGAATATAATGTTGCATTCGTGCCTTTACAATGAAGTGGGAGTTAGCAAGAGATAATTAATTACAATGCAATGCAAACACGAGGGTTGATATATAAATGATAAGATGGATCATATTATAGTTTCACTTGAAGATAAATTAACTTGCATTATTCACAGCAACGTGTGTGATTATTGTCATGCATCATGAAATTCAAAATGAAACTCAAGGCTAGAGCATGCATTTAAAGAATGATGATTAACATTACATGATTGAGTTGTACCTGTAGCGCACCACTTTTGGCAAAGTATATCGAGAAATTTGGTATTTTGTGAGGTGGGCGCGTGTATGGACCAAAGTAAGTGGCCAACCCACAAAGGTAATTGCTTCTTCACATGCATCGCAAGGATACCATAAATTAAGTCCCCTACGCTGTACCGTATGTATAATAATTACACCCATTCATATTCATATACATAAGGACACCTAAGCTATAATAATACAGTAATAATATTATTATTAATGTTACTTTCCACCCTCCAGTTTCAAATTGGGGTGGTGAATTCAATTTGGGGGCACGGGTTCTTCGTGCATCCTCATTCCTCGTTGTGATTTCTTTGCACTTTGCAGGGAGTAAAGGGTGGCAATTTAATGCTCTGTTTCGGTCAATGAATTTTGGTTTTGGTGTGTCGTTTTCTTTAATACTAACAAACATGACATTACTAACTAATATGAAACTTCAGCTAATCACTAATCAGGTGATCAGACAAAAAGAACCATCCATGGCAGAGTTTACGATGTCGTCTGCATGCTGCTTCTGCTTTCTGCTTTGTTAATCGAAAAGAAAATTAAAATATTCTTGATTTGCGGTTGCACAAGCTTTAACACAAAGAATGGGTGCTTTTGACCATCCACTTTTAAGAGTTTTTTTTTTCTTCTATTATAATTAATTATTAAACGGTGAAAAAAAAAACTTTTTTAAAAGAAAATTAAGAAGAAAAATTTTCTCTTATTCTTCTCTTCATCACAAGCTATGCTTATACTAATTTGGCCCCCCGAAAATGACGACATTTAAGGTTGAGGTTTGAATAGAAATTGACGAGTGAGGAAGAACAACGACCCAGGATAATTGATATTGTAATTTTATTTGTTAAACTAACGTTTGATCGAGTAAACTTTTTTTTTTCTTCGCTTTAAAAATAGTCAGATCAAACATAATTAAA